GTTGGTGACTGAGGTACTGAAAACTGGGGTTGCTGTTGGTGCTAAACAATGGGGTGCAGGTACATTTCTGGATGTGAAGAAGGAAGCCAGTGTGAAGAGGGAAGCCATAGAAAAGGCTGTAAATCAAGTAATAGCGAGTGAAGAAGCAGAGGGAATGAAAGGCAGAGCCAGGGTGCTTAGAGAGATGGCAATGAGCGCTGTTGAAGAAGGTGGTTCGTCTTTCTCAGATTTAACTTCTCTAATTCAGGAATTGGGGTCCCTTGGAGCATGAACTACTTTCGACGGATTAAATCATTGTATACAATGGAAAATATAAATCTAAATACATATTTTTAAGCTCAGTAGACTTGTCTCCCAAGTCACAACTACTGATATATACCAACTCTATCAACCAGTTTCTTCAGTCAATCTTTTGCAGTGCTATTATTTCTCTTCTCCGTTATTCTCCATCTTCTACGCAAATTACAAATCTCTTACTACTTGAAATGGACGATAAAACCAACCAACCTCACATTTTTTTCTTCCCTTGTATGTCACACGGCCATATGATACCAACCATAGATATGGGCAAACTATTTGCTTCAAGAGGCATCAAAACAACCGTAATTTCCACCCCTCTTAACTTATCTCCTTCTCCAAAACCAATGATGACTCGTTTATTAATCCGCAATCAAAATGAGGAGAATTCAATTGAGGAGAAGTTCGATTAAGAAAGAATTAGAATCAGAAGGTTTTTACTAAACTGGAGTTGTAGCTTAATTTTAGTTAAAACACATTCACCCTTGCACCTTGAGGTCCCGAATTATAAGTTAAAAATGCTTCTATTACTCAAAGAATTTGTAGCTCAGTTTTAGTTAAACCGCATTCACCCTTACCCCTTGAGGTGCCAAGTTCAATGCCAATTCACCCTCGTCCAATAGCAGATGGGTAAAACCCACGGAGCATTAACGTGCATTACTTGAGCATGCTACTTTGCACCTTCCTATATCTGATAAATTAAATCCCCAGGCAGCAAAACAAACAAGGTCCAAAACACCATCCATAGTAAAGCCAAGTAAAGGCATCACTGCCGGCTGACGCCAGCGTGACGTCACATAGCCCAACACATTGCTCAACACGTTTTGGGTCGGCCTAAAAGCTGGCTTGGATTGGGTGCTTGCCTATTTGGATCGGCTGGAGGGGTTTTAAGGGGTGCTAGCCTATTTTTCCCACTTTGGACCATCCTATGTGCTTGGGTTGGAGTTGCTCTTAAAGTGGCATGTTTGGAAAAAGATTATTACAATGTTGATTTTTTCTATATTCTATTATTTAAATATACTATCAAGAAAATTTTATTTAAAAGAAAGATCATATCAACATAATATAATAAATAGTTCGAAACAGTTTGAGTTCAATTTTTTTAAACTCGCTCGAGATTGGCACGTACAAGAAGCAACTTAAACTTAAATATAGTAGTGCTATTCGGTTTGAGTCGACTCATTTACAATTCTATATCCATTCGACTTTATCAAATATAGGACTAAGGCTTGTTTTATTTATTTATTGTTAGTCGATTTTCATGTTGCGTCGTTTAAGAATTCAATCACCAGAGATCAATGTATAAAATATCGATGATATCGGAAATATCGGTAGTCCAAAAATACGGAAATTTCGATGGAAATATCGGGATATTATCGATATCGATAAAAATTGAATAAAAACCACGGAAATTGTAAGAAAAACTTGAAAATTTTTATTGAAACTTTGCAGGATGTTTATTTAGTCAATTATCTATTAGTTTAACACAAAAAATTGGAAGGAAATACATTACATAATAGATATAACTGATTTAAGTTGATTATATAGCGAGCTGATAAATATTGTGAGTGTAGAAAATATGTAGTAATTAATGAAAGAAGTTTAAACACACCATAATCATTTATATATAATGAATTAGTACAATATTTTACACTTTATACATTGCATGGTAAGATACATGAGTGACTTAGTAAGGTCTAAAATATCGATGATATCGGAAATATCGGTAGTCCAAAAAAATATCGGTAGTCCAAAAACACGGAAATTTCAATGAAAATATCGGAATATTATAGATATTTTAGACCATGCTAGAGATACAAACTTTTAATAGATCTTAATCACCAAATACCATGGTAATCTTCTTTTTTTAGGGAAATATAAGGGCTTAAATTAAAGAGCTAGGGTGGCTACAATACAACCCGACAATGAGTTTACAAAGGCTTTGAGTAGTGCGAGATAGGCTAATCACCAGATTGCTCTGGAATAGATGAATCGACGTGTCGGTTTGGGGTATGGTCAGTTCACTAGGAGGATCATCCTCCAAATTCGAAGTTTTTTCCTGAAAATTTCAACCTTGTTAACTATGACAACAATCGCGACTATAATCAAACTCGTGATTATAGGAGGGCTGCTCATGTCACATCACTATTCGTGGATTCGGGCAATGTGACAGGTTCACCCAATAATTCAAACTCAAATGTGGACAAAATGATCTACGTATGCAATGACATAACAAAGCCATTTTAGTCTTTGCCACTTGGCAGAACTTGAATTTAAAAAAAAAGAAACAAATCGTTAAATCCCAAGTCTCAAAGTAATATATTGAATCTTTCAGCTCACTGGTTAGTATCAACTCTCTTCATCAATCATCACCATCCATTATTGGAGGTTGGAGCTTTTTTTTGCATTCTGTCTAGTCCCCATGGAAACTAAATCCCATATGCAGCTTCACATTTTCTTCTTCCCATATATGATTCAAGGCCACTTCATACCCCTTATAAACATGGCCAAACTATTTGCTTCTCGTGGTGTAAAATCCACCCTAATAACCACCCCTCTCAATGCACCTCTCTTTTCCAAGGCAATCCAAAGCAGCAAGAAATTGGGATTTGATGTTGACATTCTTGTCATCAAGTTCCCAACTGAGGAAGTAGGGTTGCCTCAAGGATGTGAAAATGCTAACTTAGCTACCACCAGGGAGATGAACGAAAAATTCATCAAAGCCACCTTCCTTCTTCAACCACAAATTGAGCAGATTTTATACGAACACCGCCCTCATTGCCTTGTTGCAGACAATTTCTTTCCTTGGGCAACAGATGTTGCTGCCAAGTTTGGTATTCCAAGGATCATATTTCAAGGCCTCGGTTTTTTCGCTTTGTGTGCTTTTCATAGTGTGGCGTTGTATGAGCCTCACGCGAAGCTGTCATCTGATTCAGAAGTTTTTACTATTCCTAGTTTTCCAGTTGAGATCAAGCTGACAAGAAGCCAAATCCCGAATTTTCCCAAGCAAAGTGCTGAATTCACCAAGTTGTTTAAAGAGGCGATGGAGAGCGAGGAAAAGAGCTATGGGTTCATTGTTAACAGTTTCTATGAACTTGAACCGGCTTTTGCAGACCATTACAGGACAGTGTTGGGGAGGAAGGCATGGCATATAGGCCCGGTTTCGTCAGTCAATAAGGCAGCAGATGACGAAGCCTTCCTCGATCGGCACGAGTGCTTGAATTGGCTTAGTTCTAAGAAACCCAATTCAGTTGTTTACATATGTTTCGGAAGTATGACCAAATTCATTGACTCTCAGCTCCTAGAAATTGCAGCGGGGCTTGAGGCTTCTGGGCAGGAGTTCATTTGGGTTGTGAAGAGAGAAAAGAACGATAAAGAAGAGTGGCTCCCCGAAGGGTTTGAGAAGAGAATGGAAGGTAAAGGACTAATTATAAGAGGTTGGGCTCCGCAAGTGCCGATTCTTGAGCACCAAGCAATCGGAGCCTTCGTGACTCACTGCGGGTGGAACTCTATCCTTGAAGGAGTATCTGCTGGGGTACCAATGATCACATGGCCCGTGTCGGCTGAGCAGTTTTACAATGAGAAGTTGGTGACCGTGGTACTGAAAACTGGGGTTGCTGTTGGTGCTAAACAATGGGGTACACATCTGGATGTGATGACGGAAGCCAGTGTGAAGAGGGAAGCCATAGAAAAGGCTGTAAATCAAGTGATGGTGAGTGAAGAAGCAGAGGGAATGAGAGGCAGAGCCAGGATGCTTAGAGAGATGGCAATGAGGGCTGTTGAAGAAGGTGGTTCGTCTTTCTCAGATTTAACTTCTCTAATTCAGGAATTGGGGTCCCTTGGAGCATGAACTACTTTCGACGGATTAAATCATTGTATACAATGGAAAATAGAAATCTAACAACATATTTTTAAGCTCAGTAGACTTGTCTCCCAAGTCACAACTACTGATACATACCAACTCTATCAACCAGTTTCTTCAATCAATCTTTTGCCGTGCTATTATTTTTCATCTCCGTTATTCTCCATCATCTGCTAAAAATTACATATCTCTTACTACTTGAAATGGACAATAAAACCAACCAACCTCACATTTTTTTCTTCCCTTGTATGTCACATGGCCATATGATTCCAACCATAGATATGGGCAAACTATTTGCTTCAAGGAGGCATCAAAACAACCGTAATTTCCACGCCTCATAACTTATCCCCTTCTCCAAAACCAATGATGGCTCGTTTATTAATCCACTATCAAAATGAGGAAAATTCAATTGAGAAGAAGCTGGATTGAGAAAGAATTAGAATCAGATTCCTCTAAAGGTTTTTACTAAATTGTCTGGAATCGGGATAAGAATGGTGTTGAATCGGAATGGAAACCAATTGATTACCTTGGTGTAAACAAATTATTTTATGTGATAATTAAATTGATTATCATATGTATTCAGACTTGCACAAAGGTTTGCTTGAATTTATGATGAACATATTAATACTTCATTATAGAACATAAAACTCTGAAGTTGGTCCCAAATTATATGTTAAAAATGCTTCTACTCCGCAAGGAGTTTGCAGCTCAGTTTTAGTTAAAACACATTCATCCTCACACCTTGAGGTGCCAAGTTCGATGCCGATCCCTCCTCCCCCAATAGCAGATGGGTAAAACCCGCGGAGCATTAACGTGCATTACTTGAGCATGCTACATTTGCACCTTCCTATATCTGATAAATTAAATCCGCAAGCAGCAAAATAAACAAGGTCCAAAACACCATCCATAGCAAAGCCAAGTAAGGACATCACGGCCATCACGAACGGCTGGGATTATTACACACAATCGTTCCTGGCATATGAAAATGCCCACAACAGCTTCCAACCATCTATCACACGAGACCTAACACAACACAGATCAACTTAAACAGAAGCAGAAGCCACATGGGTAGAAATGAGAGCATGTGTGCAATAGATAAAAGGATTAAACCCTCGTTATTCCGAGATTCTATCAGATTTTATCCAGCTTGTCTGCCTTGACAACCGGGTTGGCTTTGGCTATTGCATCCTGAGCAGCAGTCCGGTAATCATAGGGGCACTTGTGTTTATCAGAGTACCGATGAACTGCACAAAAGATATCTCCACAACGGCAACTGAACCCTGTCAGACCAACACGTTTCCTGCAAGTGCCGCACCTCGTAGGAGTCTCTTTCACCTTCTCCTCACTCTTAATGTTCAACGAAGTAGAGGAAGCCTGTGTTGAGATAAGCATCACATCTGCTGAACCAGCTTGTACATCTACAGCAGCAGTAGCAACAGGCCCCTTGCTACTTTCAGTGGGACTGCCATTCACCACACTATCAATGGATGCTGCAACGACTTTAGCTTGTTCTTGCTTCAACACCAAGTCCTTGTGGCACTTGGAACACAAATTCATGGTTGCGGGACTTCCGAAGAAGCCACAGTTGTTGGCACAAAGCTTGGGAGCTTCAGGAGGAGCTTGGCATCCTGTCTCGTTGTGCTCCATTTTCTTATAATTTCCTGCATTGTAATTCGCTAAGTCCTTCAAAATTATACAATAACACAGCTCTAGGTAGACATCTCCCCCTACCAGATATCTACAATACTACACAGCCAAGCAATTACACAATATAAACAAGCCGACTCCACCATCAACTCGTTAAATTAAAATCAGCGTAGCAGTTTGAATCTTTAGCACAAGAAAGATGATCGCCAATCAGAAGGACCATATTAACAGGAAATGACTCTTTGACCAATACTTTAACCAAGGCACTGCCACCTTAACATGATCCTAAGATCTCAACTCAGAATGTGGCGATGGCTCTGAATGAATACTCACATTTAGTTATTCACACTTGTTTCCTCAGTTTAAAGAATAATAAAAATAATTACATAGGGAATATAACTAATTAAGGTTTCACTTGGAAACAGAAGCACAATAGTTTAGTTTTGATTCTTTTGATTTCACAGTTGGCTTAAAGGCCTTTTACTTCTAATGGGATACTTTCCTGGCATAAAAAAAGAGGGAGAAACAAGAAAATAATAGCAGCACTATGATGACCAAAAAAAAAAAACCAAGAAAAATGAGTTACATGGAACCGTAGCAGCAAATTCCCAATATTTAATACACATACAAAGGAAAGTGAGGACAGTCCCACATAAGTGTGCATACACATTTCTGGTGCCGTCCCGAATGACAGTGAAACCACACTGATGATAGACAATTGATTGTTTTATGAGACAATCTGTTCTATAAAGGGGAAGCAGAAAGTAGAGAACACCATTACTACAGCTATCAGTAAAAAAGGTCGTACCCAGTGCACAAGGCTCCCGCTTTACGCAGGGTCTGGGAGAGGTGAATGTCGGCTAGCCTTACCCCCATTTTATGGAGAGGCTGCTCCCAAGTCTCGAACCTGAGACCTACCGCTCATGGGCGAACATAAAAATATACATGACCTGAAATCTACACCATTCACGTGAAGCCAAGACCCGCAGAATATATTTCACCATTTTAGTTCATTTCATGAACAAAACCGACCCCTTCTTCATTTCACGCTTGACAATGACTAACCTCGCAACCACCATCACCAACATCTAATAAACAACCTCAGATGACACAACAAAATGTCTTATGTTCCAGCTACTGGTCATTTTCTCCTTTGCTTTCTTTTTGCCTTATTTTTTTTCCCACTCCTGTTTTGCTGCCTTCATCTAACATTTGCAATCATTTTATAGTTCATAACCTTCTAGCTTACTGCACTTGGGACTTTCATTTAGTCACAGTGCACAGAGGTAAGCTTCATGCGTGACAATAGTTGGATACCGTTGAGACGAGTATTGAAGCTAATTTCAATTCTAGTTCTGAAGCCTAAACAGCAAACAAATATATAATTGTGAGATTTTTTTTAATTAAAAATATCAATTAAACGATAGGGAGAAGAAAAAAAAAGGTCTCTTTTTCTTTCAAGTGTACAATAAGTTCAACTGAAAAAACAGTAAAGCGCATGATTTGTGAATGTGCCTTGAGAAAGCTAAATATCTATTTCATCTGTCGTGATAGCAAGCCTTAATATTAGAGAATGCAACACACCAAAAGTACTAATCTTAAACCCTAGGCTTGCAAAGTACCAGCTTCCTCTTATTTTATTTTCCTAGTAAATTAAACCAGGCACCAACCAAGTATTGAGCTCATCAATACTTATTTACCCTTCAACTTGTACTCAGGGAGGGAGACACTACTTCTAGAGGGAGATGATAGAGAAGGAGACAAAGATGGGAGAATGAAAGATGATAAATCTTGGAAGGCGAAGGATTTAGGTAAAAGAAAAGAAGTTCACTTCCTTATACGGCAAAAAGATTTTATAATCATTAAACAGGGATAACCCCATAAAAACCAAGGGATGAAGTTCACAGTCTGAGTCATTTTGTTTGAGGAGTTTCATTAATGTAAAAAAGATCAGACATTAGCTTTTTCCGAGTCCTTATGCTTATTCAGCCTCATTAGGTTGTCTGTTTATGGGCATTCAATCTGTTTATGGGCGTTCAACACAACATGCATTGGCTAAAACCTCGATGTAAAGTAGACGATCAGTATAATAACAATATGCACACTTCAGCCGCATTTCTATTGTAATAAAACTAAAACACCATAAATTAAACATCAACTGCATATGTTTAGCTCAACATTGGGGGAGACAATAGTGATTGCAGTCTGCTGTAGTGACCCAAGGCCCCAATCAACAGCGCTACTTAACGCTAACATTTGGACACCTAAGCCTTACTTAAGCCGCGAAGATCTTCCCATAAAAAATTGACACTCTCAGTCATTGGGAGTTAAAAACTACCCAGTGAAGGGGGAATTCAACAACTGAAGAAGATACTAGGGTCTTCGTATAAACTCTACGAACCTACTGATTTTCAAAGAAACTTATAACCATAATTGAAACAAATACCCCTCTACTCAAACGCTAGAGAGCTTGATAATAATGAGCCAATCTGAATCCAAATCATACAATAACTCCAAAGCATTCAACCAATTAGCATACCAGACAGACCATAACTCTTACTATTGTGAGTGAAGAAATGCTCCGCATCAGAGCCTCACTTCCCCTATTGCCAATTGGCCACTTCAAAGTTTGAAATCGCAAATGCGCAACGTAGCACGCTATCTCCCACTATTTCCAATTGGTTTTTGGCTGGAACCTCGACTTGTTTCAACTAGGCCTTTTACATGCTTGTTCCTACCTTTCAGTTTCTCCTCTGTTTTAGTTTTAAAAGAAAAATAATAACAGTAAACGGATATTTATGAAGAATTCAAATTCTTGGTGGTGGAATAAGTCATGGCTTTCTTTTGCAGATTTACACTAACACTAACACATAAAACATACTAATCATGCTACCATTAAACCAACTCTTCAAGCTAATCAAAACCATTTGCTAATGACAAAACACACAAGTAATCAAACCAACTCATCAAGCTTCAAACTCCGAATACTATTCAGTAAAATCAGCACAAAAGAACCTTAATTTACTATTCTAAACATCCTTAAACCCGGAATTAAGGTCTATTTTCCCATCAGAACCGAAAACCCACCATCAAAATATCAATTTTCAGTTGAAAATTCACATCTTTCATCACATACATAAGCTGATTAGCTTCTTCAGCCAATTTTTAACATATTTCATCAAAAAAGCAGAACCCAGAAGCGAATAGTGGTAATATAAAGAATCCAGTACTCACCTGTTCGCAGAGAACCAACCTCTTCGAAGTAGCTCCTCAAAATTCACACAGAGATGGTTCCTATCCGCTCCCCTTCAATAATCAAATAATCAAAATTTAGAAAATCAAAACACTATCTGTGATGAGAGAGAGAGAGAGAGAGAGAGAGAGAGAGAGAGAGAGAGACGAACCCTAAGGCGAACAGGAGCGAGAAAGAGGTGTCAGAGGAGGAGAAGTCGAAGCCGAATGTTCCAGCTGCGAATTTATATGCGATGAGAGAGCGTGTAGGCGACCCATAGGAAGATCAAGTGTTTTCCAGGTGTCGCCGGTCAACCCACGTTTATAGCTTTGATTGGTGGAGGGGAAAACAGTCAGAAAAATTGGATTTTATTCCAATTAGAAGCATCCGACCGTTCGAACTCTCGAATTCACGGACTATATGTAGACTCGGTTGCAGAATATCTTTTGGGTCCTGGAGCTGAACTGTGGAAGTGAGTTACGTGCACAGTATTGTTTTGTTTTTCATTTGTTGTTTTTTTCCCCTCGATGTTTCGTGCTCCGCGCAGTAATTTGTCAGCTCGCAAATATGATTTTTACCATCCCCTCTAACTTTCCCATTCACTAAGGAACAATTTTCGTACAGTGCTTGCCTTGCTTAACTTGAAGCGGATACCTTTTACCTAATTATCTTCATCAAATAATTCGAATTTTTGAAATTTGATCTAACGATTAGATTTATTACAACTTTTAGAGTGAGTTTCTGTTTTTAGTAGTTAGATCAAATTTCAAGTGTTCAGATTGTTTGATGAGGATGATTAGGTGGAAGAGATCCGGATGATCCCTTTCCAACTTGAAGAATAGGTCTCGGATGAGTAATGCTAAGAAGACCACATATTGTATATCACATTTAAATTATCATTCTAAAGATGTAGGGTCCATAATATAATTTGGTCTTACTTCTATTAAAAAGACGACTTAGATGTAATTTTTAAAATATGGTCATCCTAGCATTTTATGGTCTAAGAGTATTTTGATCCAAAAGAAAGGTATCAGAGTTCTTCAACTCTATTTGGTATCCCATAATTGGTGTTACCGTTAATTCTCTCACTTTCTTTCTATCAAAATAAATACAAATGGGTTAAATTCGAAGTGCCGGTTAATGAGTAACTAGGTCCGATCGTGTGCCTCCGCATGGTCTATGAGTCTATGACCAACCAGGGTTCAAGATGTCTGATATAGGTCTAACTGTTAACGCTTAAAATTTGTAGGTTAACAAACTAGAACAATTAGCTATTGATGGGTTCAGGTTTAAAGCTATGAAATAATGGACTCAAGATTCAAGTGGTTCATCCTTTAAAATTGGGCTACATTCATTGAGGTGCTGGGAATATATTGATTAAATGATTACAAGAAGCGCTCGGCTATAATTTAAATTATTTTCCCTATCAATCGTTTGACTCCGTGTAAAAGGCACTTGCCCCCTTATATAAGCCCTTAGTGAGCTCAAAAAATCTTAATCTCACCTACTTTACTATTACGGTATTAAATAAGTTACCTACGTAGACTAGCGTGCATGATATGTCGCCATTGCAACTTTGATGGGGCAAGAGTTGATTGAGTTTTACTCATGGAAGGCCAGGTTGGAGGGGAGTCGAACGATGACGACAATCCGCCCCTAATATAGCAATAAAATCACAATACTTTTAACATATTGTTATATTTACCATTGAAAAGACCAGAGAACCTGTAACACATCATTGAACTAAAACGCCTCTCTCAATTTAGTTGACAAAATGAGGTCAAGTGAGACATAATAAAGAAGGGTAGCGCATATCTTTATTTTTATCTCACACACATCTTTATTAATTTTTTTTATTAATCTTCTTCAATTCATCCGATTCAACAGTTGAAAATTAATAAATATACATGAAAAGTAAAAATTAATGTACAGATAACATCACCTATAACAAAAATTAGTCGATAAAATAAAATGAGATAAAATAAAGCGTAAATAATAAGAAGAGATTCTATATAAAGCGCCAAGAGCTACCTAATTATAGCCAAAAAGAAATAATAAAAAAAGAGGGACGATATCAAATAGGAATTATCCCAAACAGAAAGAAAGTACAGCATTCCAGTCTCAGTAGTAAACTATTAATTTGCGAGATATTACTTCCCACAGTTAACGTTTCGCCTTCGTACCAAAACCCTCTCTCTCTCCCTCTCTCTTTTACATCAAAGATTTCATTTTTTTTTTCTCCCCGGGAATTATCTATCGGGAAACTTTTCCACGAAACCCTACTGCCCAATTGCCTAGGAAATCGTATTCCGTCACTTTCCCGGGAAAATCCCCTACAATTACCCCCTAGTTCCGGCGAGGGAGGGGGTTTGATCGGCTCTAGGGATATTTATAAACCCGAGCTAGGGTTTTGCGATTGGTAGAGGTTTCCGAAGCTTTGGGTCGGTAGGGTTTGTTTGTGAGGGCCGAAATTAGGGTTTCGTGGCGATGGGGAGCGTGGATCGGGTCGATGATAGGACATTTAGGGTTAATTTGACGGGCGATTCAGTCATCAAGTTGAGAGAGAGTGTGAGAGAGAAGCTTAAGGAGTTCATGGGGGATTACACCGACGACACTCTTGTGGTACGGACTCTCTCGTTCGGCTAATAGTAATCTTTTGCGCATTGTTCTGAAATTTATGCTGATTATTGGCCAGTTTTCAATGCTTTGATTGGGGGAATTTGTTCCATTTGATTTTCTGTTTTAATTGGCGTGATTGCCTACCGTTTTTGTGGTTTTTAGTATATATCTGGAGTACAGATTTGGATTTTGATATGGTTTCGACTTCACGGTCAAAAAACTCTATTGGTATCCTGGATTTTGATTTATTTTGATGGTACCATGAATTGGTATTAGTGAACTGTAGCTAGGCTAGTCCTTGCATGATGTTGCCATTCGGTTTAAGGCAGGCATTGTAGGTTGGACATGGAGATACTAATTCATAAGCATTGCCGAACTTTTAAAATTTGTTTCCATTTAAATCATTGCCTAGATTTTGGAGCTCTCTATTAGAGAATGGTTGCACTTCTCTTGCTTCAGGTTGGGTACCTTTTATGAAAAAAAAAGTTAGATTACCTTATTAAGGGTTTTTAATGAATTTATGCCCATTGTTCAAAGTGTGAGCTTTTAGGTCCGGGAAGTGTGCCAACGTTTATGACCATTGCCTGGGGTTATTTTTTTGTGGAATTCTTTAAGGTGATTGTTTGTGTGGGGCTTTTCTAGAAAAGCTTTCATGATAGTTTCCTTTCAAGAGGGAGGGACAACATAGCAATGTGAAAGGTCCTCTTATTAGAACGCTGATGCCCTCTCCTAATCTCTCAAATGCTGATTTTCTCCTTGATGATTGAGGAAATATAGGCAGATTGGAATGCTTTTCTTGTGGACTACTGGCTATTGCTGAACTCATAAAAGGAAAAAGAAAGGAGGGTGGGGGAGAGGGTTAAATAGCGGCCTTTTTTATGTACCTCCTGATAAATTTATGTGTGCAACGAGCTTTAAACATGGATTTGAAGGGTTACTTCTTACTAGTAGGTAAAGCATCAAGTTTGGGCCTGAAAGGACATGGCTATTTAAGGTGTCCATAATAGAAAATTTTAAATACAGTGTTACCAAAATTTTCGGTACTTTTTGAATGGGACACTTTGAGATTGCTTTCCGATCTTCTTACCTTCTTTTACCAATCATGACCTTATTTTTGACCTTAGAGAGGCAATACAACCATGAAATTAAACAAAAGAAATTAAAATATCTGAAAACAAAAAAAATTAAAATATCTGAAGTAGCCTACCAATATCATCCTTTTTTATACAGGACGTGAGAAGTGCATACAAGTACATGTGTCCGCCTGTTTTTATTTGTGGCTTTTCAGATGTTATTCTTATTGTAAGCGAACTGTCATTTTATGTGTGTGGTGTTGTTCATATGTGGGTTGTTTTTTCTTAGGGTATACAATATAGATGTTTTTGTGTAAAAGGACCAAGTGCCACATAACACTATTTGGTGAAATGTGTAAGGTGGCACTCCATGGTTTTAATTTTACATATATTTAGTTCCAAATGATGCAGAGCCATTGCGTCTTATCCAGTTCCATCCTGCTTCTGGATGTCTAATTAGTACAGCTTGTGATGTAATTTGAATTAGATTGTACTTGATGCTTGCTATCCATAACCTTGGAATTTTTTTTGTGCCCTTTATATACCTGTCAGTGGAGTTTCATATGCATGAGATGAAAGCTGAAACATATTTGAGGACGTTTCTTGCCCTTCTCTTCATATTTGTTTGTGTTCAATTCTCTACTTGAGTTCACCCCCTCGTTTTTTTTTCTTTATGTAAATCTATCCACTGACAAAAGTTATGGCACTAGAACTTTCGCTGAATTTTCTGATTTCCTTGCAGGAATATGTTATTGTCCTTTTAAGGAATGGCAGGGGCAAAGAAGAAGCAAAGAATGAGTTGAACGTGTTTTTGGGGGATGACAGTGATTCTTTTGTTTCTTGGTAATTCTTCTTTTCTCTCATTTATGAGCAATGCTATTCCACATATAATGGTTGTTTAGTTTGGTCATGTATGTATTGTGGGCAGCATTCTAATTTTTTGTTTAAAATTTTCCTCACTAGGTTGTGGGATCATCTGGCTTCAAATTCGGATTTGCATCTACAATCACAAGATTCTGAGATTGAGGATGTGAGTCAAAGAAAAACTACATCAGGTGACTTAATTGGAAAAAGTGATTCTCATCATTTGAGCTCTGAGCCAGAAAGAGAGAAGTCTAACAATAAGGTAACTAGAAGCCGGCACAATAGGGAATGGAAAGGACTAGCGAGGGATGAAGCTGAACCCCCTCCTTTTCGAAGCTCTGAGATTGGAGATATTTATGTAGAAGATAAAAGTCATAGCAAAGTTAGTCGTGCAAATTCTCCTTCACGTCAATCTGCAGTGCACAGGAAAAGGATTCGGTCTGATGAGCAACATAATACAGAGGTTTGAATTTGTGATTTTTTTCTTTTATGATAAGCAGGGGGTAGTTAATTTGACTCTAGTAATTTGATCGTGGATCTTGCAGCTGTCTTGGGGCCATATTGATTCATGTGCTAATTATCTGTTCTTCAGTTGTATGGAAAAGTCAATTTTTTTTTTGTCTCCATGTTAAATAGTTATAAATGACCTCGTATATCCTGAAGTGTGGTGTCGACTGCTTTACTAAAGAAAAGAATTCAAGGCTCTTATTTAGTATTGGAACTTTTCTTTCTGTAATCAGGAGTTTTCCCTTTATACCAATAAATTT